GAGCGTTCTTCACTTTTGAAGGCAAGTGAAGTGAGGGTCCGAGAAGCAGTGCACCCTACTGATAATTAAGTAACAGAGTCAGACTCTGGGTCTCATGCTCTTGCTTCTGCACTGTATTCCGTCTCATGTCATCAAGTTGACCAAAGGACAATTTTAAAATCATTTCTGCACGCAGCAGGAATGTTCAAGGTTGATGACACCTAGAGAGGGGATCTTGAGGTCATGTATGGTGAAGGGAGATGAGGAGTGGAAGTTTCCTTGAGTAAGAACCCAGGAGGAAGTAAGAAAGTGCAGTCTTCTTTTCTCTGTGTTCAATGAATGGCTGAGTACATGGCTAGCAATCCTCTATGTCAAATCTTGCATAAGAAATATACAGAAAGGTGTTAGTAATCTTAAATATTGCAAGTATTGAAAAATATTCCAATCTGCCCCAGGAAAGCCTGAGTTTCCATTATTAGAGGTGATTTCATATTAAGGGAGCTCCCTAGCCCCAGAATCCCCAGGGTTGGAGATAGCAATTTATCTTTGGTAAGGTTCCTGATTGGAGATGTTACCATTCTGAGAACTCTGCCACGGCCCCAAACATGATCTACTTTCATACAAACAGGGACTATAAGTCCAAACATTAGTCGATTGAATGAATATCTATGGCCAATTCCCCTAAACATGCTACAGTTTTCTATTCAAGGGCATTACATTATTCTCTACCATCAGAGGAGCACGGATGTTTTGCTTCATATCGAAGATGCATTGGAAATAATTGTAATTTGTCAAAGACCAAGAAGGGGGAAAAGCCCAAGTCTTAGTCTATGGTAATTTTTGCTTTTGAGGGAGATATGTGGTCTGGCTCAAAAGCCAGAATGTACCCCATAAAAAGGGTGGTGGGGGGCAGGCACCTGCTGGAGCTTGAGCATGTTCTTGCCCATCCTCTACTGGGTGCTCCCCTTCAGTGATGAAGTCTTGGGAGCTCCTAATGATAATAACGTATAGATACATTTAACTGTTTCATTAAGCTGGCCTTTTCAGGTTGATTACCATTAATATTTATGGTTGGGATATGTTCCTCCAGAGATCCTACAAATACCTCTCCTTTTGCAGGTAAAAGTCCTACCCAGTTGGACTGAGGGGAGAAACCAGAGAGTCCAGGCTTGTTCTTCTCATAGGAAATGAGAGTTCACCAATGGTTTTGTATGCGTGTGAACCTTTAGGTCCAGGCATCTTTTAAACAGAGCTAATTAAGTATGTTTTTGTGAATCCGAGGGGGAATTTGAATGTCTGTGTGCTGGAAGGCAGAGAGGGGTGGTACAAATCCCCAAAGGTCATATCATCCTCTGATATAATTGGCTTTGGCAAGTTCTATTTTTTGCTGCAAACTTCTCTGTCTCCAACAAAGGGTTACAGTTTCCTCTGGATGCAAAAGTGCAGGCAGAACCACAACAGAATTCGCTGCCCAGTGGGATGGAAGGCTTGTCTTCCCCAGAAGAGCCCACACAGAGCCCTGGCACTGGAAGCAATGTTCTCTGCACCTGCCAGAGATTTCCCGCTGCTACATCTCAAATGGGGCTTGACCTTCTGGCTGGGCCAGGAGGAAGGAAGTGGCTTTACCACTCAGCCATGCATCTGCCAATGAGCTCTGGGTGGGCTGGCGCACTGTGGGGAGATGACGGATTTAGGTAGAGGAATCAAATGTTACCTCTGGTACATTTTATAACAATGAGCTAATAGGTACCTCCTAAAAACAGTTTTTTTGGGGGGAGGGAATGAAGGGGGGGTCTCAAAAGAGCATGAGCTCTCTGATAAGATCATTAAGTATCAATTCATAGACATGACCAGTCTAATACATACTCACATACCTGACTCCTGAGAGACACCCGACCCCTGGGGCTCAGGTGAGACCTTCACTGTAAAACCAAGAGGTTGTATAGGTGATCTCTATGGTCCTCTCCCTCAATAATGCATTTCCTTGTTGTTCGAATTCTAATAAGATCTTGTTTATATTGGAAACTGCCAGCAGATGCTAAAGCTGTCCCTGGGGGAGTGGGCATTATGCTACCCAGATGTCCCTGGGCTGAAGGATGAGGTTGGGTCCATGGTGATGTGTCTGGTCTCTGAGTCAGGCGCAGAAGGAAGGGAAACACACACCTGTGACTACAACCTGCCCTCAGGCTAAATTTCTTCTTACAGGCTGCATCTGAGACTAATCAGGAGGGGCTCAAGGGGGACAGGGAGCAGGTGGCACTGGGGACTCTAGGGAGAGCAAATAAAAATTTGATACCACCTGGAGGTAAAGGAGAGAGAAAAGGGTGTTCTAAAAACTGCTAAAACTAGAGACATGACAACCAAATGCAACATGTGGCCATTGATAGGATCCTGGATTTAAAAAACACATAAAAGAATATTGGGACTACTGGGGGAATTTGAATATAACTATATTAGAGGATGTATCAGTATTAATTTTTTTTTTTTAATCCTCACCTGAGGACATATTTTTTGTTTTTTGTTCAGATAGAGTGGGAGGGTGAGAGAGAAAGAGACAGAGAGAGAAACATCGACGTGAAAGGGACACATCGAGTGGTTGCAACCCGCATGACCCAACCAGGGCCGGGGACAAACTGCTACCGAGGTACGTGTCCTTAGCGGGAACCGAACCCAGGTCTCTCCAGACCACAGGCCGATGCTCTAACCACTGAGCAAAACCGGCCAGGGCTCAGTATTAATTTTTTAAAAATTGTTATTCTTTATTGATTTTAGGGAGAGAGGAAGTGAGAGGGAGAGCGAATAGAAACATTGATGAGAGAGAACATCGATTGAGTGCCTCCTGCATGCCCACCACTGGGGATTTGGCCCACAACCTGGGCATGTGCCCTGATTGGGAATCGAACCGATGACCTCTTGGTGCATGGGTTGTTGCTCACCACTGAGCCACACCAGCCAGGCAGTATTAAAATTTTAAGTATGAAATTGGGGTTATTGTTATGGATACACACACACACACACACACACACACACACACACGAAACAAATGTAAAATATTAAAAGTTGATGAATGTGGGTGAAGCTTATATGGGTGTCCACTGTGCTACTTCTGCTATTCCGCAGGTCTGTGCTACGGAATAGGTTCTCCACTCCTATACTTTTTCTTCTGTGTTTATTCATCCCACACGTTAAGAAGAACTCACTCCTATTGCCATTTAAGCTCATCCCCCCATTTGTTCTGTTCTCGTTGGAGACAGAGCCGGCATTCCCCTTGTACATCCAGGGCTGAGCTGGCTGTGAGGACACAGGGAACCCCAGGGCCGGAACTCATGTCTATACGCATCATGGGCCACTCTCCTCTCCACCCAGTAAGAGCCAGTGTTGAGTGGAGGCAGCAGCAGAAGCTAACACCTGTTGACCACCTGCTCTGTGTCAGGCCCTTGAGCTGCACTGGCTCAGCTGATTCTCAACAACAAAACTTGCTTACAAATGGCAGAGCCAGAACAAGAAGAACCCAGTACATGTGATGCCCAACCTTTGTTTGCAACCACCATTGAGTTGCTCTCAGCCTGGAGGTTATTGCAATGACCTGAAGAGCATATTCCCAATACACACATGTGGGCCCCACTCCCAGGAGTTACTGGATCTGTAGTGGGGCTCTGATGCATGGGGTTCACCGTCTCTCTCAGCTCTGGGTGAGTGCCATCTGTGATTCGTCTCCTCTCCCACCACCACCTGGAGAGCAAACCCCTTTCACTTGAGGGGTTTGCCTCAGCCTTTCCTTTCTGATCAGACCACCGTCTGCTTCGGTTGGCCACGGTAGCCTCAGAGCATGCAAGCTGGGGCCATGGGTGTAGTTGAACTGGTAAACCTACTGTGCGCCATTCCTCACACTTGGCTTGCTGTGGAGGCATTTCTGGTAAACCTACTGTGCGCCATTCCTCACGCTTGGCTTGCTGTGGAGGCATTTCTGGTAAACCTACTGTGCGCCATTCCTCACGCTTGGCTTGCTGTGGAGGCATTTCGGGAACTCAGGTGTGGGCTCCTGTGGAGCCGGGTGCAGAGTGCTGTGTGCCTTCTCCAAGGGTCCTCTGGGGGAGCAGAGGACAGAGGGACCGGGGGAGGAGCAGGCTGTGTCTGTATCTGTAATGTTTTCTTTCTTAGTCTTTGAATGAATCCCAAGGGAATTATGTGGAGTGAAAAAAGTCAATTCCAAGAGGCTATATACTGTATTATTTCATTTATATAATCTTCTCGATATCACAGACTCACAGAAATAAGACAGATGGGTGGTTGCAGTGGTCAGGGGCTGGCGGATTGTTAGTGAAGGGCACCACAAGGGACCCCGCTGGAGATGGAAATGCTCTGTATCTAGACTGAATCAGCGTCAATTTCCTGCCTGTGATCTCGTACTATAATTTTGAAAAATGTTGCCGTAGTGGGAAAGTGGGTAGAGCTACACAGGATCTCTGTTATTTCTTACAATTTGTCATGAATCCTCAGTTATCTCAAAATAAAGAAGCTTGATTTAAAAAAAGAGAGAGTATCTAAAGCCAATATGGCACACCATTAATATCTGTCCTACCTGGGCCTTGGAAATCTGTTCTAGTTGTCGTTCGATTTCCATTATGTTCTGACTGTTGGAAATGTTTAGTAAAAGCGAAACCCTCTGGAGCTGCCTAGTCAGCCTTCAGAGTAGGCAGCCTTGCCCGGCCTGCCCCGGTGCCCTCCGCCCGGTGTGGTGGGGGCACAGTCCTCAGGAGGTTTGCAAGGGCTGAGCCGGGTGCTGCCCAGCCGAGAACCACCCTCCTGGACCTGGGAAAGCACCTAACACTCCCAGAGGGCGGGGGCTTCCCTGGTGGCTCCGCAGTGCCCCGCCAGGTCTCCTTGGCGTGTTAACAAAATGGGCCAAACTATTCTTCTCTACAGATTCTTGGGGACAGCTAACTCCTCGACTAAAAGTGTCTTCTCACGGGGCTCTTTCACTTTGTGTATTTTAAGAGAAGAGACGTAAGTACCAGGATTTATTTATTATGTAGCTAAATCGTAACTTTACAATACATTCGAAAGGGACTAAGCGAGATATGTACAATAGTTCAAATGTAAAAATAGAAAAGAATGTCCAAAAGAGATCAGTATATTGGAATAGAAGCTTCGTAGTCATTCAAGAGCAGAGTGCCTTCACCCCAGTGTCACAGGGTGGACTTGGCCGCAGCAGGGCTATTCACATGGATTCTGAATGACAATCAGAAGATACTCCTTGTCTGTGGAAAGATACGGGCAGAATTAACTCACTGTAACTATTAAATATAATAAATGAATACTTCAGCTAATCTGCGTTCTCTTCGCAACATCACTTGGACCTCGTGTAGACCAGTGGTTTTCCACTCTGGGTGTACTCCAGAACCACCTGTCAAGCTTCCAAATAACGCAATTACCTGGGGTGCAGCCCGGGAGGTTCTGATTTCAGTGGTCTGGGGTGGAGTCTCGGTATTAATCGTTATTTCTGCAAAGCTCTCCAGGGGATTGCAATGTGCATCCAGGGTGAGAACACAGGTGTAGAAAAAGCTGTATTTGGTGAATAGGTCATTCTGATCAGACAGATGTACTACTGTGGAGAAGTTTATCCTATACTAGACCTAGGAGTATGAGTCCTGTTTTGTACTGACACCTACAAGTGTAATTCCGCTGTGGAAAAACGTATTTTGGTGGCTGCTGTCTTTTGTTAGACCAGGTGAATGTCAGCTCCCCACAGGGGGCGTTAAGACTGTAGGCCTTTGACCCACCCCCCACTTGGTTCCCTGGACAGGAGACATTTCTCCCCCTCTCCAGGACACCTGTGTGCTAGGTTCACCTAGCATAAGACCTACGTCTCTGAAATTTTCTGATTACTGATGATAAATGCAAGTGGGCAAAACTGAGCTTCTTCAAAGGTCAAATTCATCACTAATGTCAAGATTTTCAAGGTGGAATTTTAAGGCTCAAACGCCTTCATTTTGTCATCGAAAGGCACTGTCATCTTGTCCATTACAATCTATACTCCTTGCTCTTTGAAACAAAGCTTGCATATGGTAAAGTGGGAGGATGCTTTACATGTGAAATGAAATGCCAAATTACCTGGAGCCACCATGATTTCATGTTTCTTTGATCTGATCCTGAGAAAGGTGAGGTCGTTCTGGGGATCAATGTCGCGGACTGTGCTCTTGGCCTTCATGGTCAGATGATGGAGAAGACCAGCGTACTGAACCGTTGTTGAGTTGTCCAAGGTTGTTCTGATCGGAATGCCTGTTGCAGGATTTAATTTGGGGGTAAACGTTTTTTCTGATGATAAAAGTAATATGCACATTGTGGAGATATGGAATCTACTTATAACTGTTAGGAGGAATAAAATGTGATGGCTTGGTACCATCCACTGCTAACAATTTTAGCTTATTTTTTCCCAATCTTCTTGTTTCTACATAGATTTGGGTCAGTTCTGGCCAAGTGGCTTAATTGGTTGGAGCATCATCCTGTACACCAAAAGGTTGAGGGTTTGATTCCTGCTCAGGGCACATACCTAGGGGTGGGTTTGATCCCTGATCAGGGCGCATATAGGAGGCAATCGATTGATGTCTCTCTCTCTCTCCCTCCCTTTACCCCTCTACACATATCTTTGGGTGAGGATTAAAAAAAAGAAAATAAAAAAAAAAACTTGGGTCAAACTATAATTACAAATTTGATGATTGCTTTTTTCTTCATTTAAATGAGAGCATACAAGTGGTCCTTGTTGGTGACAATGTCATCAACATTATTTTGAATGGCTGTACACTTTATTACTTTATGGAAAAATCATAATCAATTCCTACTGTTGGATTATTCAGTATCGTGTTTTTGTTTTCTGTGCACACATATTCTGGAAGTTGTTAACTGGTGGTCTCAGTACTAAGTGAACCTATTCCTGGACAAAATGCATTCCCCCAAGTGTCCTGTCTACAGAGCCTGCTTTGCAGTGCTTGGTCTGTGATACAATGCTAGTTTTCTCTGAAGGCCAGAGTTAGATGGGATATCGCTGCCCATTCTGGAGAGCACATCAAAAAGGATTTTCAAAAATTTTTTTAACATACTGTATTTAGCACAACTTAAATTTTATATTAGAAAGCAGCCACGGAGACATCGTGATTTTGCGGGGCATTTCTTGGTTGGCCCTCACCCTTGGTTTAAGCATTATTAAATCTGGCTATTGTGTGCGCGATTGCTCCATGATTCGCGTTGAAAACAGGACCTATTAATTTCACTGGGAAAATCTAGCCAGACAAATATGCGAGTATAATTCAATTCAGTTCAAATCAATCTAGCTTAATTCGGGTCACTCAGCCGTCAGTGCTTATTAAGTAACAGGTGCTGTGGCAGGTATTTTGCATATATTGTATCTAATCAGAAAGGGCCTTCGGATTATTTTGAGAACTACCACATAGCCAGGGAGTCCCAGGAATCTGATTTGCAAATGTGTCTTTAATTTAGGGGGACATCTGAAGGTGAATTAGAGAGCGTTGTCGGGCCCTGCAGGTGCCTGAATTGGGGCCAATCAATAAAAGAAGTGAACGTGGCTCTTGGTTTCCCCGAGAGAATATCATTTCAGACTCCTAAGCAGGCAGAACACAAGAGTGGAACCACATTACAAACTTGGGATTTTACCAGTTTTTCGCAAAACTCTCTGAGAGGCTCCATTTTGACTTTGAAACAGATTGCTTTCTCTTTTAAGAAAATTGTTCTCACTAGACTAGGTCTTCCTAAACAGTAGGAGGACAATGTTGACAGGAAAACCCACTCAGCAGATAAGGTTTTATAAACACTTGTTAATTTTCGTAGTATTGTTTGTTGGCCACTTGCACCCCAGAAGTCGGTTCTGTCTTTCCCAGCAGATGGAACACCCCCAGGCGTGTGTCAGTCACCAGAGGAGGGAAATGTATGTAGCAAGCACCCAACCCTGTAAGAGCACTTTCTGATGAACAGTTTTATTTCTCATCCTGAACACTGACTACCTACAAGGTCTGCCCTGCACGGTGTCAAAACAAGAAATACAACCAGAATAAATTATTTAAAGTGTAGATGACTAGACATGAATCCGGTGTGTAGGCCTGTCTAGTTAGTCTATTCATGAGCCAAGGCAATAAACAAAACAGCTGGCCTTTCTAAATAGTGAGTGCACACTGTGGAGAGTGTTGGGGTTTTCATATCTCCTGGAGACATTTGAAAAAAATTCATCAACAACAAATATTTATGGAGCTTGGTGCCAGCCAAAGTAATTAAAAAATAATTTATTAAGAAGTGATTTTAGTGGGAGGCAACCAATCGACAAGTCTCTCTCACATGGATGTTTCTCTCTCTCCCTCTCTTCTCCCTCCCTCCCACTCTCTCTAGAAGTCAATGGAAAAAATATCCTCAGGTGATGATTAACAACAACGAAAAATTTTAGCACATGGTGTAAAATTCTCCCACAACCACCGTTCCCCGTTTCCTTGGTACCCTTCCAGAGGTGCTCTAAGTCTATTTACGTAGTTTCGTGTTTGTATTCTTCACTTGTATCATTATCTATTCTACACCTATTTTTTTCCATTCAATACACTTTGGAAATGGTTCCATTCAGTACACATAAGACTAGGTCTTCCGTGTTAATGACTGAGTAATATGCCTGTGGAATGGATGCTTTGAAATACACAGACTAGTACATCCTCCTGATGAGCATTTAACTGTTCCCAGTCTTTGATCTCTATAAACAAGGCTACAACATATGTCTTGGGCATGCCATTTCACATTTGCATATATGTGTAGTATAAATTCCTGGAATGGAACTTTAGAACAAAGAGTATAAATTTGATATTGCGGAATTTATGGCCCTACTTTAAAATGACTCGCTATGATCCCAGTAAGCTGGTACTCTTCCACTGTTCATTTGTACTTTGGTTGATAGATTGTACTTCAAACCTAATCTAATAAAATTCAAAGGATATATTGTTAGAAATGTCAAGAACATTTAAAATGAAGAGACTACAGGAATCAGGCTTATATACATAAGAACATATGACAGATGTGACTGCATGGGAAGTGTGTGTGTGTGTGTGTGTGTGTATGATATCCATCAGTATCTAATTCAATAATCAGTGCTGTAATATTGTAAATAATAAATGGTTTTATAAATGGGTAACCAATGTTACCAAAGATTCTTCTCTAACAAAAACCTGTATCATATATCATTCAGCATTCGGCTAAAATGATAAGTCTATTTTATTTTCATGAATAGGAAGTCTACATTTCAATAACAGTGAAGCCAAAAAACTGTATTTAACATGGCATATAGAAAGGTCTAAATGTATAAACGTGGTAGAAGGCCTACATAACCACAAATAGCACCTGAAAATATGTTTAAATGATTTGCCCAGACTTAGTGGACTACACCACTAGCAGAGAACAAGAATACATAAACACCATCTTAGGTAAATATTTTCAGTATCAAATTCCATGGGACTTCTGAAAGCTACAAAGCTGCACTATAATAAATGGTACTTTCATCCAAAATTGAGTAGGCTGTTGAAATGGAGAATTTTATTACATTCTGATCACACAACTTATACCACATGCTATTAATAAACATCCTTGTCATACACTTGGGTTATTAATAATCTGACCATAAAAATAAGCCCCTCATTTATATTTTTGGAAAAAAGTTTATTTTGGATTTCAGAAAAGTGCCCTGAATCCTAACACAACCTTATCTAAGTAGAGGTTAATTAGAAGAAGTTAATGGGTCTTAAAAATATATTTTGGCCCTGGCCGGTTTGGCTCAGCGGTTGGAACATTGACCTGTGGACCAGAGAGTCCTGGGTTTGGTTCCCGCTAGGGGTATGTACCTGCCCCCCGCAAAAATACACATACACACACACACACACACACACACACACACACACACACACACATTGTTGCTTTTGGATGAGAAAAATGTTAAGAAACCTCAGGAAAATAAAGTAAAAATCACTTTTAATTCCATCACTCAGAGATAATCACCATAACCTATCTTTGCTTTTCTTCCATATTTATTTTATTTTATTACTTTTTAAAAATTTAGGGAAAGATAGAAACATTGATGTGAGAGACAAACATCGATTGGCTACCTCCAGCATACCCCCTGCTGGGGATGGAGCCTGTAGCATGGGCCTGACTGGGAATCGAACCCGTGACCTCTTGGTACATGGGACAATGCTTAATCCACTGAGCCACACCAGTTGGGCTTCCATATTTATTTTAAGTGTATATGTGTGCCTGGCTATATTTTTTATTAGAAAATGCTGGGTACTGCTATGTTTTCATCTACTATTGTGAGTAGTTTTTCATGACTCTAAATATTCTTCATCCTTTTAAATAGAGAAATAGTTCATCAAGTAAATATTACATAATTAATTTAAAATTCCCCCTACAGTTGGTATAGGTCAGGGATTTTGACTTTGTTCATCTCATGACACATATAAACTGATCACAAAAATTCTGCGGCACACCAAAAACATATTTTTGCCAATCTGTCAAAAAATAGGTATAATAGTGATTCATCCACACTGGATGGCTATTGTTGTGTTGGTTGTTATTTTTTTTATTTGCCAATCTAAGGGAAAAGAGGTCAGTGCCCCTGACTAAATAGGAATTGCATGTTTGAAAACTTCTGTGGCACACTGGTTGAAAATCATTGGAATAGATTTATTTATTTCTCTGTTTACTTATTGCTTTTCTATACAATGCCTCAGTTAGTATCCTCTGTACTAAATCTTTCCTTTATCACTTCTTAGGATAAATTCCTAGGAGTGGAATTACAGGTCAAAGAGGATGGATATTGTTCAGATATTTGATGCATATTGCCAGAATTATGTACTTTAGACTAAGATTTCCCAAAGTAACACATAGGTCAGTTGACCTGGATGTCACAGGTGAATGCAACTGTATTGGGCTGAATAGTGCCCCTCCTCCCCCCAATTCAGGTCTACCCTAAACTTCAGAATGTGACCTTATTTGGAAATACAATCTTTGCAGATGTGATTAGTTAAGATGACGTCACACTGGATTACGATGGACCCTAACCCAACGACTGGCGTCTTTATAAGAAGAGAAGACAGACATGGAGAGGATGATGGAGACAGAGAGTTGGGAAACAGGCAAGGAGGGAGCCTCTTACTGAGCCTTCAGAGACAGCTTGGCCCTGCTGACACCTTGTTTTCGACTTTTAGAGAGAATGAATGTCTAATTTTTTAAGCCACCAGGTGTGTGGTTCTTTGTTATGGCAGCCAAAGGAAAGGAATACAGCACCTCTGTGGAGTGATGATTAACCCCTCTTAGGGGTGTGGCAGAGTTTATGCAAGTACATGGATCTAAAATCCATTCCACCAGAACCATGCACTAGGGTTGGACCGCTCCCTGGAAATATCAGGCATGTATCTGAACTCACCTGTAGGGCTGATCTTAAATTCACTCCCTCCTGATCATTCTAGCTCGGTGCATTTATGATATTCATTTGATGATGAGTTATGTTTAATTTAATTTTATTTTGTAAAACACATCAGATGTTTTAGCTGTACAAATCAATTAAACATCCCTACATTCTCAGAACTATTTATGTGTAATTCTATTAAGTACTGGGTATTGTGCCAGGCACTTGACAGTTATCATTTCACTTATCACAGCCATCTGTAAAGTAGGTTATTTTCCATTTTTAATAATAAGAGATTGAAGGTCAGAGTTTAAACAGACTTTAGTTGTATAAGTTTTAAAGCCATCAATAAATATTGATGGCTTTGCTCCAAAACAGTGATTAGCTGTGAGATCCTGCTGCCAAGCATTGAGTTGGCAATGTGCCAATCTCATGGTTGCACCATTAATTATATGAAATAACTACTTTTATTTCAACTAATACTCTGGGATTGGTGGCACCTCTTGTCCTTACAAGTGCCGGAATTAGCAATGAAACGAGCAAGAGCCTTTAAGAGGTTGCCACCATAGTGGAGCATGGGACAGGAACATGCCAGAGAAATGCTTTGTGGGTTAATGGTAACTGTGAAAGGAGAGCAAGTTTCCTTTTGTATAAGGAAGGAAATCTGTATAAGTCTACAGATTTAATAGGTGGAAATGTATTGGCCCTTCTGATACTATAACCACAAAGACTGTACTATACATTACAACTAATTCTCAAAGATTGTATTAAATATGTTTAGGAACAACTTCATTCAATATGAAGACTGAAACTCGGTACCCTCTATCATGTTAAAGCAAAAACAAACTACCAACAATGATAGTCTCCCCACATTCAGTGTAAAAGTCTTATTGGTATTCCTGAAATGTTGGAAAAGAGTTACCAAAGCTTTCAAAATTAGACACTATATAGTGTTTCTTAGCAATATGTAGACATTTTTAGACATGTCTTATTCATATTTATATCCCTAGTTCTTAGCAGAGTGCTTGATTTGTAATACTCAATAGATGTTTGATAAGTAAATACTATAGCTAAAATATACAAAATATGCTTTTGATTTCAAATTCTAAGACGCTTGTCTAAAGACATGGCGCAACAAATGGGCTTGGTTGGCTTCTGCAAGTCATGAAGGTAGCTCGGGATGTATTTACCTTCTGCATTTACAACCATCGTTCCAATAACCCCTTTATGGCTCTGTATCCTCTTGAGGGTTTCCTCCACCTCTGCCTGGAAGAGATCAGGATGGCAATTAACCAAAATGTTCTTTATGGTGACTCCAATCCCAAAGAGAATAATATTTGGAAAGACTGCTACTCTCCTATCTCTTTAGCCTAAGGTACTGAACACTATAATCTCAGACTTTTGGGAGCGAGCTTTGAAATGGTTAAGTCCGATATATAAGCCTATACAGGACTGCTGGCAGACAACCCTGACAAATCTCTTGGCTTGAACTCTTCTACATTCAGAAAGCTTACTGCCTCACAAGAGATCCCTCCATTTTTATCTATTTACTGGAAAAGTATTCCTTATATTGGACAGAAATCTGTTCCTATTATTCACTCATTGACCTTTCTGTATTTGTATAAAAAATTCCCTTTCTACATTATAGTACTTTAATATTTATAGAGCTATATCATTGCTACCCTCTGTCCAAAAGTATTCCTTAATGAGAAATCTTATTTTTAGTCTTAAATGTTACCTATTTGGGAGTTCAGATGATTAAATTGAGGATATTCTGTAAAAACATATTCTAGGATTCCAGGAATCTCTTGGTAACTATGGCCTGGTTCTCAGTGCAAGCTGAATACTTAACCATGAATAATTATGTTGGAACCCCATTATTGGGTTTTAAACTCAGCTTTCTGAATGAATTTTATGTATAAACTATATTGTAATGGTTTTCTTTCCTTCTACAAATGCTAAAATCAAGAATCTTTTACAAACCTGAGTATTATTTATAACTAAGTAATGACTGAATATTCTGAATTAAAACATTATTCTGCAGAGTCTCTTGATGGGGATTTGTGATATTTCCCCCCAACATCATACAGATAAACATTATGTTACTTAGAGTTTTCTTATACACCTAATGTAGACAGGAAAACTTATTTCCTCCTTTGTTACCACTATTCAGGTATTTTCTGAATTTCAGGCATTATGTACTAGATTCACAATTTTTGACATTATGAATACCATCTATATTATTTACCTAATATGCTCTTTACATTACCTCACCGCTAAAAGCTTAAATGAATGCATTTTTAAAAGGAAACTATACATCACCACCAGAAATGGAAATCTGGTATTATTAGTCCTAAACAGAAATAATCATGGAAGAAAAAACAAAATGAAATTAAAGGGGGGAGGGCATATTATATTCTATCCTAATGAAATCTCAAAACCTGAGGTCTATTCTTTAGTGAAAATTTCAAATTGCAAAATGATACCAGTATAATGATCTAATATCGCTAGAAACTTTGTCCTGAACATGGTCTAAAGGCTGAAAAGAAAATGAAATCAAAGAGGAATAACTTCCTCGGATGTGATTTACTCTGTTATTTGGTATTTCTGAGCCATTTCACGCAGCAACTAATGCTTGCATCTCACTCTGGGAAACACTGCACCTAATGCATAATAGCTGTACAGGGGGTCAACAACCTCCTTTATCCTTTTTCAATTTCACTTCTCTCCCAAAAGCCTCTTTGTGCTTTCCTCAGATTTTCCTTCCCCTTTTCCCAGTTGTTTTCTCCTCTCGTGATTCCTGCTACAATCTCTTATCCCCAACCCCTTTTCATTCCTCTTGAAACTCTTTGCTTTCACCTTGCCCTTCTTCAAATGTTCGGGTCTGTCTCCACTTTACTCTCTCTCTCTCTCTCTCTCTCTCTCTCTCCCCCCCTCCCCCTCCCCTCTTCCTGGCCTTCCCCTCCCTTCCCCCCTCCGTCTCCCTCTTTCTCCTCCCTCCCTCCCTCCCTCCTTTCTTATTTATGCTCTCTCCTCCCTTTCCTCTTTCCTTCTTTCTCTTTATTTAATTTTCTTCTCTCTCAGCATCTCCTCCTTGTCCCCTCTCTCCATTGCCTTGCGCTCCCTGTCCCATCTCTTTCTTCCCTTTCAGGGTGATTTTTCTCTCCAGCTCCTTCCTCCCCCTTCCACACATTTCTCGCGGTCATATCTCATCCCCCAGAGGATCTTTCATCCCATGGATCTCTTCTCTTTCTCGGCATCTCCCCTCCCCAAGTGCCACCTCCAGAGCCCCCACCCCCAGATATCTATGCCCCAAGATAGCTCCCCCATATAGACATCTTCTTTTCCAAGGTCTTCCGCTGGTCCCTCTAGTCTCCAGTCGCCCTTCCCTGAAGCTTCTGGAGACCCGAGCTTTCGCGACGACCCCGGCCCGGCCTGGATTGACCTGGGGAGCAGGGCAGCGAAGGCCCACGCGGGTCAGCGCCCTTGGAGTGGCAGATCTCGGACCGAGACCCCAGATTTACCATGACACTGGCGGGGAAACTCCGGGCTCTGTCTGGCGCAGCGCTGCCTAGGCTGTCAACAACGCTTCCAGCCGTTGCTAGGAGACGGGGGAGGAAGTGACCTCCCGGAAGCATCAGTGGGGCGCCTGCGTGCGTACAGGCCGGGCAGCCGCAGGGGGTGGCGTTTCCGCCCTGAACTGGCCTGGCTCCTCCAGGCCCCCGTAGGCAGGGTTTGGCGCTGGGGACCGCAGCTCACCTGGCTCCCACGCACCCGCCGGCGAGGAGGGCGAGGAGCAGCGGAGGGCAGAGCCCGCGCAGGCCGCCCCGTCATTCCTTCTTCATTCCTTGGTTCCTTCCTCCCTCCTCGAGGTGTGCGGGGATGCAACAGCCACCTCCTCATTCAAGACCACTGCCACGTGCCAGGCCCTCCTAGGGCCTTGGCTGCACTCCAGGAGGCAACAAAAGAAGCAGCTCTGTGCCCGCGGGACACTGCTCGGAGCACCCACAGGGCAGGGTCCCTCTGACGTGGGTTGGGCCACATTCCACACTGGGTGACAGACCCGCTGCTTCGCGATGCGCACTTCCCCGTGCGGCGCTGACAACGTTTGTTCCCTCCCCTATACGGATCGCATTTTGTTTGTTTTGTTTTTAAGTGTTTCTTAAAGAAGAAATGTATCTCATGATCGAATAGCACAATCATATATATGTTTGTTTTCTCCCCAGCCCCCAAACAGCAGGGTAAGTCCCATCTGACGTGGTTCGGTCTAGTTGCAGGGCTGCGCTTCACGCAGGTGCAGAGTTGCTGCTACCAGGACTGTTGTTGACTCCATTAGGATCGTTCCCTTGCGGTCATTATGGTCATTATTCGTCAGCAGTTTGTAGTCGCCGAAAAATTGCAGAGGGGAGTGGTGAAAGTTCTACAAATTGCCATAGAAGAGAGCGTTCCGCTGGGAATGGAAGGAACTGATGGAAGAAACAAGTTCAAGATCAACGTGGGATGGTCAGAAGTCACTTGACCTTTTGAAGGGCGTTGAATATATCTCTGTAGCCTGGGAAGCTGGGACCAACTTTTGTGTGAAGTGCAGCAGGAACATTTTGTGTCTGGAGTCCTGAAGTCCCTGGGGTGTGAAGAGGGCAAACATTAATTACGGACACACATGTAGGTTGGGAATGCATCCCCATAGGGGCCATGCTCTGATGACTGCCTATCATACCGATTCAGTTCGGGCTCCCATTTCCTGAAAGCAGCCTGCACCAAACAAGGCATCCTTATTGCTAGAAATGTCAAGTAGAATCTGAATGGGCCCTTGTCAGGGATTCTCGGAAACAATTTTGGGCTTGTTGGTAATTCTGGATTAGATGATCTGTTTGTACTTGGAGTCTTTAATTTTCTGACCCTAAATTATGTACAGAAACACAGTGAGGAACTCTAATTCTGTTTCATTTTTTCCCCCACCGGGGAGGAGATTCTGGTCACTGTCATCCTCCTTCTTTTCCTCCAAGAAACTCATGCTTCTCAGAAATCCAGATCACAAGGAGCTAACTAGTCTCCTTTGTCACTCCACACCTGGAGGTCCCACCAAGATGATTTGGAATGGACAGCTAGGATTGTGGGGGAGGAGTCTGATGTATGTGTGTACAGGTCTGGCTCTTGACTGTTTGCCTGTATCTACCATTTTAAGTACTAAAGTATAGATATTTACAGTGATACTGGCTGTTGACTGTATAATGACTGATTTGGGGCTCTCTGGGTGTTTCTGATCAAGGAGACCCTTACTTGATTGTAAAGCCATTTGTTTTGCTTATAAAAATCGGTGGCCGTGCACCATTTCTGTTGTATCAATCAGCTTTCATGAAGGAACCGGACTTCCTATGCACAGAGTGTGAATCCCCTCATTTCTGGAGTGAGGGTGTCAAACTCGTTCGATAGCTGACAGCCGTGATTAGAGCAAAGGAAGACTAGAATGAAAGGCACTGACAGGCGTACCCAGCTGCTGAAAAAGTAATAAGAAGTTGCCAAACTGACTGCTAACCAACAGTCAAGTTTGACTCACTGTGCACAGGAAATCAATGAGAAGAATATGAGCCATTTTCTCCTGATTGATTTTCACTTCTAATTATTCCTTGGAGGTAGCCTGGTTTAATTTTTATGCCTTTTTGGGACTGGAGTGAATATCTGGAGCTGTGCTAGCTAAAGTATCCTGGCAGTGTCTGATATGTTCCCTACCCCATTCTTAATGCATGTGAATTATCCCTTTCCCTTCTACTTTTCCCACACCTTCTTTGGACCCACAATACGTGCTAAATAACTTTGAATTTAAGTGAAAGAATTTGAATAATGCTTTTTGAAAGTACTCTGAAGTGACCCCCAAAATTGGTGGCACGTGCAGAGACAAAGTTGACAGTTCTTCACGTGATTTTGTCAAAATAAGATGATTTTCTTCTGAGGTCTCTTTTTTTGATAATTTACATCCGCTCTCTGCCTAGCCTAAAGAAATTCAGGTAACTTGACAACCGTGAGTTTTATCTTGGGATTTTCTCTACCACCCCATATATCTTTGGCATTCTTTCCTAGTTGGCACACACTATAAACTGGACCATGGGATATATTTTGTGCCCATTTTATCATAAGTTAGGGCACTGTGTGTCAACTTTAACAGAACATCTCTTAGTACTCTACTGGTTGCACTCCAGAAAGTACTAGGTTTTTTAAAATGTCCCTTAATAATAGTAAGGCAGAATTAGATGATGTCAGTGTTATCAATAAGTATTTCACATAGCTGACCTGATGCCATAGAATTATAGAATATAGATTTAGGGTTTTAGAAGATCAAACATTTTTCTACTTCTTATTAGGCCAAAGGCGCCTTCTAGGGCAATTCTTTCTAGAACTCAAGTGTAACAAGCATTTACATCCCATAAGGGAATCCTCCCTGTTGGAATTAAATGCTGTCCTAGACCACAGAATTTGGCATTACATGCATCTAGCGTTGGTGTTTCTAGGTGTGTTTCTTTGACTAAAAGAAATTCACAGGGCTTTTGCTTTCTCACTTATAAAATAGGAAAGATAATATCTACCTTAGAGGGTGTAGATGAAGTTCAAATGATGTTATATGGGTAAAATGCTTGGCTCGTACCAGGTGCCCAATATAGATCACGTCACCACATTTCTTCCTTTTGTCTTCCTTTCTTTAGTTCATCCTTCCTTCTTCCCTCCATTCCTTTTCTCCCCTTTCTCTCTCCTCATCTCTCTGTTTCTCTAGCCTTTTCTTCTCTACTCCCCTCCTGTTTCTTTCCTTTCTCCCTTCTAACTGCCTTCTCTTCAACCTCCTTTTCCTTCATGCCCTCCCTAAGAAAAATATCCAGAATTTGTATTGTTGACTTTCTCACTAAAGAACATCTTTCCCTTTCCCCGTCATTCCTTTTGTCCTGTTATTCACTAAGAATAGTCATCTAATGTAATTCATCTACTTCTAATCTCAAGTTTTCACAATTCCCATGTTTAAACTTCTAGCTCCACAAGAAGTTCCCATCTCAGTGCCTTGCATTAAGTAGATATTTAATAGATATTCTCAGTATCTGAGCATTGGGGGGAAACTAAATATTTCCTCATCTATCAACTTTGTTCAAAGAAGGAAGGGCTTATGGGAGCAATAAATCCCATACACTTGATGTACCTCTTCCTTTCCCCTCACCCCTGACAATCCAGTTCCAAGGTATCTGATCTATTTCAAGCTCTTTGATCTATTTAGTTTTAAAATTATTTTCACGGGTAGGTATGATACAAAATTTAGGTGCACAAAACAAAGGTAGGTTGGTGAGTTACTAACAAAAGTTAAGTGTACAAAACGAAGTATATAGTCGGTGAGTTACCACAAAGTGAATGCCTTTGTAACCCTCAAGCAGATCAAGAAATAGAACACTGTCCATATTCCAGAAGATTCCACATGGCAATTCTCAATCATTATTCCCACACTGTATGGCTTGAAAATCTAAAATCTAAAAATATTTATTATCTGGCCCTTTACTGAAAAAATTTTCTGATGTCTGTAATAGATTATTTCTCTTCTCTTTCATCTTTAGAATATGTTTGATGGTTGAAAATAAACAAAAAATATATACCATTGTTCAGGGTTTTCAAAGTATGCAAATGTAATATTTAAAGTAACTACAACATAGAGTGGGGAGGGTAAGGAGACTTATATGAGGGTAAGCCTCTTACATTCTACTTGAAATGTTCAAGTATTGATTCTAAATAAACTGAAAAATGAGGTGTGCAATTCCTAGAGTAATCAATAAAAAAGTATACAGATAGAGTGAAACAGCACATAGATAAATTAAAATGGGATACTAAAGTTTGTTCAAATAATATAAAAGGGAAAAGGGCAAACAGTGGAATGGAAAAACAAATGGAAAAATCTGAAAACAAGTAATATGATTTTAGAATTAAATCCTGATACAGCAATGATTATATTAAACGCGAGTAGTCTAAGCACACCAATAAGAGACAGAGATTGTCAGAATTAATCAGTGGTTTCTGTTTTTGGAAAGACGGAGTAGATGCCCTTTTCCCTATTCATCCTACTATATATAACGAAGAATCTGGACATTATACAAACAGAACAAGCATCTGAAAGATAGAATCAGTCTGATTGCCTAGGGATCTTTGGACCCAAAGAATGACATGATTGCGTTACCTGGGTTTTCTTTTTGCCTCACATATTCTAGTCTTAGAGCTGAAGAAGCTGGTAACTCAGAAATGTTGACAGGCACTGAAGTTTTAAAAAGCCTATTCTGTAGCCAAAAGACCAGGAAAGGTTTATCCAATAGGATGGAAACTTAGAAGATAACCACTTTTCTCTAGCCAAATGCCACACAGGCCTAGTGGAAAGTATAGATTTCCACTCTCACCTTGCATACTCCTCCCATGTCCCACCAGGGTATAGTCAGAGAAGGCTGAATAAGGAGTGAGTACTTTCATCCCACTGGGTGTTAATAGTCACCTTCCCCACTCCCTGCAACAGTTTTAGTGAAGTCCAGGTGGGGAGCCTGGATTGCCACCCCCACTGTAGCATATG